GGTATCTCGGTGTGAGTGGGACAAGTATTTGTTACAATAAACGTAGAGTAGACTTTGCTAAAATAGTTTGAAAAAGTCTCAGCTTTTGCTCGATCTGATTCAGCTAGTAAATCTGAATTTTCGTGTAACAGTAACGGGGGAATACCATCACTACGTTCCATTCGCCGTTTAACATACGAAAACAATCGTTTCGGACAAGTACGGCTATCATATACTAACTGTGGTTCGTAAGTGGTACGGGATTTGGCAATGGTTTTCTTACAGATATTACGGAACTTTCGGTACTCACGCTTAAATGGTGCATGACCTTTCAACAAGAATAAGTCCCAGAAATGTTGCCTACGCTTTAACAGCTTCCGGGTTTCCTTATTAATCCATGGAGGGCAATGTGATAGCTTACGTGCTGACCATGGGATAAACAGCGACGGTACGGACTCGAATGTAGCCTTAAACTTATTCTATTCATCTTCGATCAATCCATCCGCGTCGACCGACCAATCAGTCGAGATAGCACAGTTTCTGATTGCCGGAATATTGGCTCACCGGATATTGGGACGGGGTGGAGCAGATACAAATCGTACACCATGTGTTCTAAACTTAAAGTGAATTACAACGTGAACACTGTTCACTAGTGGGGGAAGGTGCTGAATTTTAAAAACATCCTCAGAGTGGTGGGTGAGGGCGAGGTCCAGCAGTGACGGAACATGTTGCAAATCAATATGTGTCGGTTTTGTGATACATTGTACAAGTGCACACTGAATAACGGTAGATAAGAGGTCGCTATCGAAACCACCACCTGGAGCTGTAAGCTCTATCCAGTTGATATGCGGTGCGTTGAAGTCCCCAATGATGAGACAACACTCTGCCATACTCCGAGAACAAATGTGTCTTAAGATAAAGTCGTCAGCAAGACAACACGGACTACGGTATATTCCCCCTATAATCACTAACCCATTTCTAGATTTAATCTTACAGCATGCTATCTCACATTATGCTTCCCCCCTTGCGACTTAAAACTCTATCACTTCTAATAAAGATTTAGCCTGCCATGATGGGAGAACATTCTATATCTACGGCGTACCAAGTTCCTGTAACAACAATTATATCAGGACTTAATTCATCCACCATCAGACTTAGCTCGGACGTTTTATTTCCAAGGCTAAGGGCGTTTGTGTAGCACACACATAAGGTGTTTTGGTAATCATTCGTTCTACCCATACAGGCCTCGGAAGCATTGGCTTCCAAGACCTGACTACCCGAAAACCCTTAATGGTAAGGTTATTTTCGCCATTTAATTTGCGAGTTCTCAACTCCGTAAGAGCATTCTTTCACTTGATTCGATTTTCAAGCGGCTAATCTGGTCGAATACGGATATTAGAGTCACGAGTTTTTAGTGCGCTTTTCAATAATATGTTTCTTTCTTCAAGACTCCCGAGAACCAGCTTCAGGATTCTTCTTGGTTGGGTCTCACCTCCAACCCATTTACCAAGTCGTATTACTTTTGTAATATTATTATTATTATTATTATTAGAAGCTTTATTCAACATTATATTTTTGGTACAATATAGAATTCTCAGCATAAAGTATTTCAACAAGTTTCCTTTTCTTATACCTTGATCGATTGTGACGATAAATTTTGAATGATGACCAGTTAGATGTTAGGAGTTCGGTAATCCACATTTGATTAATGTTCATTCGTTTCAATGCATATTGCCGGCCACCATGATGTCGCTGATTGTACCTTTTTGTATCCCGTATAGCGAAAAGTTGTAAACTTTTCATAAACGCGCCTGAATAGGTTGTGCGCACAATAGACATAGTGATGTGCTAAAACAAACAACAAAACAGATAACTTGATGAAATATCTAGATCGGAGGAACAGGTAGCCCAGATATTCAAGCAGGCCGCCGGACATTTGAGTCACGAGTTTTTAGTGCGCTTTTCATTAATATGTTTCTTTCTTCAAAACTCCCGAGAACCAGCTTCAGGATTCTTCTTGGTTGGGTCTCGCCTCCAACCCATTTACCAAGTCGTATTACTTTTGTAATATGTACCCCTGAAACCTCTTCAGGTAGTACATTCCTTACCACAGACTCCACTAACTGCAGGTCATGTGCATGTCTTCTAGCAGGGTCGTTGTCTTTCGACTCCTCTAGATTCCAAATAATTAAACTAGGGAGGGGTTTAGCTTCTTTTGAAACTGTGTTCACAGCTTTCGAACGTGACGTTAGATCCTGTATTTTAACTACTGGTATCTTACGATTAGTTTTTATTGCAATAGAGTTCTGGGAGTCGAGCGAGTGACTCACAACAATGTTAGACGAAGCTTTACTATGGGACTTTGGCGGATTGGTCTGAGAGTCTGTAGTGACTCACGTTTATCACGAGAACACGACTGGTTTAATAAAAACAATTATTATTATAACCAACTGTACCAGTGTTTGTTTTAACGTGCTTTTGTTTGACTGTGCTAATGACAGCTATTTTGTGCTTCCATTCTTATACACACACTTCGATTGTAACTTCGCGCGAATTCGGTTACTTTCTGTAACCAAGGTTGTATCCTGGCACGATCTCGGTATCCTTTCGATGCCACGAGATCGCCAGCAAATAAACATCGACTTGGTCCATTAATTGCCTTCTGGTATTTGGCTTCTCGGAGATTTTATGGGTTTCTTTGGTTACGTCCAACCTTCGCCTTCTGATCTAATTGGCACGTGTTTCTTGGTAGCGGTGTTCATAGTTAACTTCAACTCGACACCACGCTAAAAGTCCACCAAGGACTTATCAAGTAAACGGTCATTAGTTTTAGCTGTCTTTCCTAATCTTCTGCGTTTCCGTGTCATCCATCTTCCATCAGTCGTAGCATCCACATTAGAACCACTCGGGATAGTGATTGTTTTATCTGGGTCACCGGTTGCTGCTGTAGCAACATGCCCACCAATTTCTAATGAGGTGTCACTCATTGATTGTTTCGGGGTAGACGGTTTAATAGCGGGTTGCACAGTTAGATCGACTAGAACGGTGACAGAAACAGGATATGTAAAAGGATTTTCAAACCTTAACTAAATAAATCAAGTAAAAGTCGACCAAGTATGCTTCGATGCAATAAATACACAAAAGGAAAATCTTAACACTCAATACAATATCACTTTAACTGGAGCAGATGCAAATAAAGTGTAAACAGTAGTTATGATGCGTAATTTACGATCAAAACAGTTAATTAACTCAACGAGAAACAATACCACTGTCCTTTTAAATAGAGCGCGCGTAACAGCTAGAAAAAAACCTCTCTGCACATGAGGAGTTGCGATGATGTTGTTCAAAGTAGTACCAAAAATACATATGGAATGGGAATCTCATGAATCCAGGATCATCAAAGCATCCTTCAATACAACAAAGAAGGAGAGAATCACAATGAATTTTGTCCAGTGAAATGCACTCGCCAGCGATTTCAACGAACACAACAAACATGAGTTTCATGAGAAGCTGCAGTCAATCGCACAGATGTGGTCAGGAAACAACCTAATAATCATGATGGGAAAACTAAACACCAAGGTTGGAATGGACAATACCATGCATAGAGATAACGTGAGCTGACGAAAATGGTGAGAGATTTGCAAATTTGTGTGCTTTCAACAAAATGGTTATAGATGGGACTATTCTCCCCCTACACACGCATACACAGATCTACAGATCTAATCCTGATGAGAAAACTAAACACCAAGGTTGGAATGGACAACACCTAGTATGGAGATAACATGAGACGAAATGGACTAATTGGGAGAAACGAACGAAAATGGTGAGAATGGTCAGAGGAACCACCAAATACAATAAACAACATGGACATGGCTGAAAAATTTCGAATTCGTGTATGACTTAGCTCCTCTATCCCACAAACAGCAACGAATACAGTTGCAGACATCCCGTGCAGCAGCAGCTTCTTTGCAGTGGGTTTTCAACATGTTCAGAGGAAAGCAATTTCCTGAAATACATACAACACAGAGAGCGAAATCCCAATCACAATTGATAGACGTGTCCTGGACGAGCTGGAATGTTTCAAGTACCTGGTCAGCATCATGGATAAATAACGAGGATCTGATGCAAATATGAAGGCACAGATTGGCAGAGAAAAGTCAGTATTGCGACAATTCAAGAACACATGGAACACTAATTAATTGTCACACAATCCACGATAACACAGTTCTGTTTCACAGACCAAAACATTCAAGAACTACTACAACCATCATCAAAAATGTACAGGCACTTATAGACAGTTGTCTACACAAGATACTCAATATTCGTTGGATGGATACCATTAGCAAACAATCACTATGATAGAGAACAAACCAGCTTCAGATCAAGGGAGAAGACGCTGAAGGTGGATAGGACATACACCGTGGAAATCACAAAAATGCATTATAAAGAAATCCCTAACTTCCAATCCTGAATGTGAAAGGAAAAGAGGTAGACCAGAGTACACATTTCACCGGGACTTCAAGGCAGACGTCATAAGAATGAATAGGACTTAGAAACGACTGGAAAGAAGAGTGTAGGACAAAGTTTGTTGGAGAATCCTGGTCAGCGGTTTATGGTCTACGAAAAGTGACACGTGTAGGTAAATAGTATTTCTATTGTCATTTTCACTGAATAGGTATGTGAACGATCAGTGGAACACACTATGCTAAGGAACAAATCAGCTTCCAGCCGAAGGGAGAATTTGGGTAAGAAGATAAAGGTGGGTAGGTTGTGATTTTTGGATCTCGTAAAGACGTATCATAAAGGAATTTTTAATTTGGCTTCTTTAACGAAAATTGGAAAGATATAGGCCAATGAACATACAGTGCCGGAAGTAAGAGTAAAACATCAAAAGAGTGAATAGTACGTTACCAAAACTGTAGTAGAAATCATTTTTTAGCTCTCCAAAGCCTATGAATAGTAGAAGGCCTATGTAAATCGATCGACAAGGTTGATATTTTTAAACGCTCACATTTGTAAAATTTGAAGGTCAGGGTCGAGTAGGTGGATTTTTGGAGGTGTGTTTAGTGAGTCACTTCACTGTTTGGGGTTGGTGAGGGATTTAGCTTTTCCAATGAAGTCCTCTACCATTAAACTATTTATCCCGGTATTTCTTCTCTTACTGGTACTCCAACTCATATTCTTCTACTCCTCAACCATAGATGGTAAGTTGCATGTGGTGTTAATTTATACGTTAGGCTGTCTTCACAATTTCAGTATATTTACTGTACTATTTTTGTTCAACTTTTTTAAGCATCTTGAAACAACGTTTGTAAGCGTCGTATCCGGGTAGTGCCCTTTATTTGCATAATAAGGAAATGACTCTTACCAATTAAATACTTCAGTACTTTGAATTTTCCTTGATAATTATTGGTTGGAATATGGTAAAGATAAAGTCTGCGGCAGTTTTCGTAGTTTTTCAGTTAATTTCACGTCCATGGGAAATGGCCTTAAGGGTTCCTTTTGCATATAGAAATTGGATGTCAGGGAGTGACTATCTAATAGGATTTTCTTGGTAGTTCTCAATCGTTTTATCGGAAACTACGTCTAAACATGTGTCAGTAAAATTCTCTACTAGGGTACACAGCACCCACAATTGTTGGTCAATTGTTCAACTATCCGCTTTACCGATATTGATGGTTAGTCTAAGCTATCTCTCCCGTTCTTACTATTGTAGAAGTTGAGAACGGTAGTTGAATAGCCATTTAAAAGTACATTATACCCCAGATATAATGTGCTTGCAAGCACATGAATTTGGAAATTCACTTTGGAATAAACTTTTTGGAAAAGTTCACTCGTATTTAGTCCTGAGAAATAATTGTAGATCAGTTCTTTTCTGTTGTGATTAAGTTTTCATCCACTAAAATATAATTTTAATTAGACGGATAAATAATATTGTGTGATATTTCAATCTTGAACTATTGTCTGCCGTTCTCAATTTGGAAGGCATGTGGTTCTAAGTATCATTTAACACCCGAACAGACCCCAAGGAGAAGTCTACTTAGTTTTTGAGCCGAATAAATTTTGGAGGAACGCCGGTGCATTCATTTGACCTAAATGTAGAAATATTCTTCGCTCATCTAAGATTCAAACTACTACTTTCAGTAGTCAAAAATATTTTTGTCGCAACGCTCCATATCAAAAATCACCACTCTACAACGCAAAGAAACAAGTTATGTAACAACTACCACCGAAATGAGTTTAATTGAGGAAATAAGTAAAGCCGAGATGATGCCCAAGAATTAAGGAAAGAAACATAATCAAGCTGCACTTATAAGTGTGGATACTGAAGTCACCAGAGGAGTGTAAGACCGGTTACCGTAACTGTTGAAATGCATTGTTCTGATCTACTTTACGGCTGCGAAACGTGGTCATTAAGAGTAGAAGATGCTTGTAAACTACCAGTATTTGACCACAGCTGCCTTAGAATTATTGCTTGTGCCTTCTGAGATCACCGGGTAAGTAATAGTAAGGTTAGACACAGGGTATTACAAAATGATAGTAAATCAGTCGATGAGGTTGTGAATGTTCATAGACTGAGATGGTTGGGCCACGTGTTCTTACGTATACCTGGACACCGATTACCATGACGCGCAGTGCTGACTAGTGTTGGAGACGGTTGGAAGAAATTTAGGAGCGGCCAAACTAAAACGTGGCATCAATGCTTGAAGTTACTAACTTCTAGTCTCAGTCATGTTGATAGATGCAGACCACTTGGTTGTGGTCCGTGTGACTATCATAACCAGTGGTTGGAGACTGAGTGACATGACACAGAATCGACCACAATGGTGTCGGTGTATATACTTGAGAGGATCAAAATTACAAAGTTAAGCATCATTTGGGGCGAAATGAACAGTGGTATCACAAACTGACTGAATGTGTCCAATCATACCACGTTTAAAGCATCTAGAATTACGAAATATACATAAATCTAATGAGTGAAACTTGCCACGGGATAAACATTTACCAAACTTGTGCTCATCTTCACCCGCTTCTCAACTCAATGAACTGTTATCTGAATAACCTTGAGGATGCATTGGATTGTGATGGTGTAGTCCTGACGAACCATTTTATGAAGTTTTCCTCATTTACATCATTCGAAATTTGTACATTTTACATGGTCTAGAAGTGGTTCCTTGAGAGTTGCGTAAGTGAGTGAAATCTGCTTTTTTGGAAATGCCAAAGCCTTTATTAAGCTGCATGCTTTTCCGATGAATGTAAGGAAATGAGCCACAATATTAACATCCTCAACATCTTCCTTGGTCATAGTCCAGATTTCGAACTTTTCCATGTAATCCTCGAAAGATCAAAATCTGAATGTATGTCCAAATGTTTCATCACAGGATCCTGCTCGCGATGCCAGTTTAATGGTTTAAAGTATTTGAATCATTGTACAAACTGGGAATCCCAGAAATAACGTAAATTAACCAAAAAGTAATAGATGAGCACGAACGAGTGTACTGTATTTGGAATTCGAAATCAGGCAGTCATCAAGTACAAGCCCTCAAATGCCCTCGTACGGCAGACAGTGGGGAGAGTCTGCTCCCCTCTCGAAATGCTCTCATATGGCCACGAGTATATAGCTTCTGCCAGGGAAGTCCTACTCAATGCCCTCTCGTGGCGGGGGTATTGTTTATGAAATTGAGAGGAAGAAAACCGGATGTCCGGTGTTTTAACCGGGTCGGCGGACACAGAGGGTCCATCTAGGGGAGTTAAAAAACCCTGATTCCAAACCAGTGGTGCACATGCACTCCGAGATCCTGAGGAAACAAATGGCTTATGAACCTATTATTGGTCCCGGCTACCATGGGACTGCATCTCCTTACATTGCTCCACTGCCTTGTGGATCAGACCTTTATGTCAAAGGCTTGTGGTGTAGCCCCCACCAAGACTACACACAAATCAAGTGACTTGTGTGGCACATATGTATTCGGTGCCCCTTAGTACCAATGTTTATGTGTTCAAAAAAATAAAGAAATAAAAAACACCAAGTGCAAAGGAATCATTAGTTCATACAAATGCCACAGTGTGACAACTTGAACCGTTGCATTTATCTACCTGGTCCTACGTTGTAGCTGACTGAATAACTGATCGGTCTAATATGAGCTTTTTAATAGCAATAATTTTGGCAAAACACAGTAATTCAGGAAACGTTTGTTTATTAATTATTTAAAAGTATTTTGTGATGTAAAATTCATTTTCGTTAATCCAGAACATTCCGCAGCGTTTCATAATGCAAGGTCACGATAAATTAGAGTTTCTTCAGTAACTTAAAATGCACTTAGTTTGATCACGGTAATTTCTACGTCAAGACTATTAAGGAGTCCATAGACTGTATTTTTAATGGCGCATATTTATTTGGTGCCCCCTTGTACCAATATTTATGTGTTCAAATAAATAAATAAAGTAATGATCAATCGCTATGTATACCCAGCTAGAAAAGTCTGTGAATCCTTAGCTTCTTTGAATTTGTTTCCGGTCAATAATGATGTGTGACTGTCTCCATATAGTCTGTATTTAAATACCACATTATTTTAACTCTCATCTTGTCTAAAAACAAGCGTTTAGGGCAATAGGGAACAACTAAATAGCCTTGTGTCATACTCTCTTCTAAGCTTTGTAAGGTTAAGACGCAGGTATTTCTGGTTCGTTAACATTTAAAGCTAGTTTCGTCAGCATAAAGTGGTTTTAGTTGCTTCTGCACTAATGTTTATCTTTGAATGAGGTTTCAGCTTCGTTGTTAAACGATGTTAGATGGTTTCTTAATCCACTAATGTTTGTATCACTCATGTGTATATGTCTTTGAATTCTCACAATCTGGTATGTACTGGGTTTCTATCTGATTAAACAAATTTATTCAGTGCGCTGCACGTACGATCACTTGAATATATACTTTTTAGGTACTTTGGCTGAATCGGATGCCATTGTTGATAACAAGTTTGGGAAGTGAAAAACAACACTTCTTGGTCACTATTACCAAGTACCTGTGTTCAATCAACAATAATGCTGTTTTTTTATTTGTACAGTGGAGCTCCCTGTGATATTTTGTTCCTTTTTCACGTGTTGTACAAGAGCAGATGTTATATTCTCATTGACTAAATTTTGACGAGATAGTCTTCAAGACAGAATATCACCTTACTTAATGAATTTTCCGTACAGTAAGCTCTTAAAAGTATGTAGTCTGTTTTACAAGACCAGTTATTCATTAAAAAAGTTTCAGGTACCTGTTCCTTTGACTCTGAAATCACTTCCAAGTCAAAAAAGGCTATCAACATTATTGGTCACGCTAAATTATCTAATGACCCTGAACTGATTTTGTCACTAAGTTGTCTCATGCATTGTATCAGTCAGTCGGTCATATTCAGTAGAGTCTAGTATATATGTGCATTGGCCTAATTTGCTACACCATATTAGCATAGTGAGATGCAATATTCAAAACAAATGGTAAATAATAGAATTAATAGTGTCAATGATCGTAAAAAATATTATTTGATAAGAGGGAATGAATCGAAGAAGAAAATATACAACTGCAAATCTAAAACGGACAAAGAGTGAATGCTCTTAAACCACCTCTATCAATTCTGAGTTATGTGGTCAAATGTCCCTAACTATTGGTCTTGATAATTACAAGGACCTCGAAACGATAGTCTATATCTGCAAACATGGTTTGTCGTGTAACATCTTTGTACCGATAAATCCGGAGGTATTTATAACACCACCACTAGTAATGGCTTCTGTCTTCTGGATACAATCTGACAAGCACATGCAATACCATGTCCGAAGAAAATTGTGATGATGCTATCAACGCATATGGATTTTGGGAGGAAAAATAATGAGCATCGGATGAGTATTTCAGTGGTTTTGTTTCGCAAAAATTGAATAATTTATAGAGCTTCATCGTTTTTAAAAAAAAAAAAACAATAACACATAGTTTGAATGTCACTTCCTGTGACCTAGTATGTGGCCTTTTTTGTTGGTTAGGATTTCTCTTATTAACTTGTTCGTTTGACCTTTTTTCAATATATTGAACAAAGTTTATAGGATCTATTCGGTACATATAAACAGTAGAGAAAAAGAAAATGAAGACAGAAATGATAAGATAAATAAGAGGACGTGAGAAGTAAGAGTAATAATGAAGTTACAAGACGTTCAAAATTTGAGAAATAAACAAATAGTAAATGGATATATACTGTTATGATAGGCTTTTAACCGTTTTCTCAACACCTAGATTACTTATTTCTATCATTACTTGGGGATTACACCGAGGATGTTTCATCTACGATAGTTGGTAATTTTCTAGACTGATTCATTAGGAAATTTCTCCTTCAATCACTATCATAATTTGTGATAAGTAACGACTTTACATCTTTAACATAATCCACAAGTTTATGAAAGTAAATGTCCTTTAATTGATGAAAAATAGTTATAACTAATTACTCGACATCCCATTAAAATAAAGTCATGGTGTATAGTAAATTAATCATATAGAATTAGAAATATTTAACTATATAGTTACACAATAAAAAATCAATGTGGCGGTGTTTTTGCTTGTTATCTATCTCTAAATTATCAGGAGTAATTTTCGATTTGTAATATTGTGGTTCTTATACACTTCGTGTTTTTTTTTTTAATTCTTAGTTGTCAATATAGTTGGTCAACTAGGTAATTCGGGATTAGCGGATAGTGGGGGTAGATTTGGCCCACGTGATCAGCTGGAGACACTTGGTGATATGGGTCGTCCAGTTGTCTTACCTGAGTTTCTAAAAGCTGAATCTAAGCTCACATTTCATGTAAATGAATTCAATCTTGTTGTTAGTAATTTGATTGGTCTACGTCGTAATTTAGATGATTTTCGTCATCCTAGGTAACGTTTGATACGTAATTGTATGTATGCATCTATTATATATATTCATGTTTTAGTTTGTTTCACATGTTCAGATGCATATTTATTACTGAGGATAAGTTGTTTCGTTTAATATTTAAGACAAACTAACAGAAAACTCAAAATCTAGGTTCTATATATATTAGGACGGTCTGTATGTTACTTCCTGTAACTCTAGTTATGCCACTAGATGGTGTGTATTCGCGTTGCATTGTAAGCATAATTCTCCCTAGAATGATAAATCTCTCTGTTTAGTTTTAAACAGAGTAATATTTAAGTCTAATGGTTCCACGTATTGCACAGTCAGTTAATAATATATGATTAGTAATGATTAAGACCTGGTGACTTACCTACGTTTAATCTTTTCGGTGTGTAGCACTGAAATATAAAGGATTTTTCTAGGACCGTTGAAAAAAAATTAGTGAAAACCTAATGATGAACATAGACCAAAACGACCGATCTGTAAATAAGTACTGGTTTTGGTTACAATAGAAACTCAACTACGAATGTTGTTTTCTAAGTTACCTCATGTATTGTCAGTCTGAGTTAGAAGATTTATCTGTTCTGATCATTAAAGATAACCATTTGTTTTACTTTTAGCTCTCTGACAGTAAAATGTAACTTTATTTATTTGAACACAAATAATGGTACAGAGGGGCACCGAATACATATGTGCCACACAAGTCACTTGATTTATGTGTAGTCTGTGATACTGCCCGGGTGCCTAGATCGAGGCAGGTGGTTTTCTTGGTGGGGGCTACACCACAAGCCTTTGACATAAAGGTCTGATCCACAAGGCAGTGGAGCAATGTAAGGAGATGCAGTCCCATGGTAGCCGGGACCAATAATAGGTTCATAAGCCATTTGTTTCCTCAGGATCTCGGAGTGCATGTGCACCACTGGTTTGGAATCAGGGTTTTCTAACTCCCCTAGATGGACCCTCTGTGTCCACCGACCCGGTTAAAACACCGGACATCCGGTTTTCTTCCTCTCAATTTCATAAACAATACCCCCGCCACGAGAGGGCATTGAGTAGGACTTCCCTGGCAGAAGCTATATACTCGTGGCCATATGAGAGCATTTCGAGAGGGAGAGCGGACTCTCCCCACTGTCTTCCGTACCAGGGCATTTGGGGGCAATATAACTCTCCTTAATTACTGTATAAAAAGTTCACATATTCTACTGCTTTTTATGCAATTATAAATTAAAATAGTATGTTGTCACTGGATACATTTTTGTTTCTAAATATTCTTTAAATCATAACACTCGTATTTTCAGTGAAGATTCCCTTCATTGAAAAGCAAATCATAAATTATAATCATAACATTGAATAGAAAAGTTTCAAGATGTAGTTGTTAAGTAAAAAATATAAAACCTAACCTTAACCTCACGGTAAGCAAAATCAATATTTTTGTAATTTTCCCAAAAGTTAAAATGAAAAGCATTTGATTCATGAATAATAATCAGGGGGTTTTTTTATGTAGAAATACCTTTTATGATAGTAGAATAACAAGAAAAAGAAAGAAACATTTTTTGCGAGTATGCGAATAAAATGTGGCGAAGTTAAAACATAACAAGGCGAGGGACTTAACTATTATTATTATTATTATTATTATTATTATCAATGGGTTTATTCAATGTAAAGCCATTAACAAATTGTCACACAAAGTTTATCTGAGATTTTGTGTGGTTAGAGCTTATACAATGTAAAATAGATGTATAATGAAGGATGTAATCTATTTACTAGATACATAGTTCTCAAAAAGATACTATTTGTAAACTCTGAATTTAGTAATGTTGCTGGTAATACCACATGGAAACTGTTTGAAGAGGTCTAGACTGTTTGTTGAGGTATATTCTTTCATACATTATAGAGGATTTCCTAACATGGCTTAGGAAAAGTACAACGTAGGTTAATTACATCTTATCTCTTATGCTTACCTTACATTGTATAAACCATACAACATCTCAGATCAACTTTGTGTGTCTGGTGAAAATTTGTTAGATCCCTCGCCTTATTATGCTTTTAACTTCGCTACGTTGCATTCTCATACTTACGAAAATATAAATTTTTCTGTTTGTTGTTCTATTGTCATAAAAGATGTTTTTAGATAACAGACATACAAGTTGTCTTTAAACTCATATCTTTATCCATAGATACGTAATTGTACAGTTTTGTAAATGAATTTGTTGTGAAGGCTCCTTTCATTGGACTATTATTTCTAATAGCGTAAAAAGGGTCTATACAAATTAGTTCCTCATTATCATCATATTATCATGAGTGTTCTCTCTGTAGAACCGTTATTTAACGAATTGAATCCTCAAAAAATCTTTAAATGTTATTTGACAGTTTTTGTATTCCTTTATAAGGGCAAGTTTGATGATTTTAAAAATAAATTCTATTTGGGACTCGTCAGCTGGATGTATCTGCATCTCAGGTTTGATGTTTACTCTGGAACTCGAACACAGTTCCGTTCGCTTCAAACGCCGTCGCGTTATCCACTTCAAGTCCTAGAGCTAACACCAACTTTGAGATGCTGGTACATCCAGCTGATGAGTCTCAAGTAGGACGAAATGCGCGTTCTGGATTCCACTGCTAGCCACTGTCCATCTTTGCATATAATGCTTGTGAATTAAGACTATATCGAGGGAATACGCACAGTATGCACGTATTCCAACAAGAGACAGACTAATTGGAGTCCTGAACATCAATGGGAAGATTCAAACAAATAATACCAAGTAAAAATAAAACTTTGATATTTATCAGATTATTTTATTTAGTTAAAGAAGTGACTCATCAATTAGTAACTGTGTTCTCACTATCTGTTTTTTTTACCGCTAACCTATCTATTGTTTACTGGTATCATATATTCTCAGTATATAGAGTTCATACGACTGTATCAATCAAACGAATTCTTTTTATTTGAAAAAAAAAACAACGTCGTCAGTTGACATACAGAATGGTTTCTGTATTAAACATGAACACTGAGAAGTAACTAATGTTCTGTTGTTTAGACTTGAGTGTTGATCGAATCCTCCTAAATAGCTACCTGGATGGCTACTTTTCAACATAACTATGGTATTTGATGATACTAGTTTAAATCATACAAGGACCGTCAATTGCTACATGATCGAACATCCACTTTGCTAGTGAGGTCGAACAACACGAAACAGGTCCATGGGCTCCTGAACACTGCCTTTAACCACATAACATTAATAATATCTTAGTGCTAATTAAATATACTCCAAATAAAATTGTAACTTTGAACAATACAGTTCTCACTAGTTAGTAGATATCTTGGAGTTATTATTAGGTGCTCTAATCAGTAACTTTAATGTTTTAGCCCTTCGTTTCGTGGTTTCGACGTGTAGTTTTTATTAATGACCAGTGCATCTATGTCTATCTGTTTTCCTTTAAGTGGTAAACTTTGTATAGAATCTGAGATTATAGAGATTTGTAGCTCATGATGATGATGTTGATGGAGTTTCTTTCTCTGAGCTGGAAAATTTCCATCAAAAAAGGTTTTGTGAACTCATTTATCAGGTCCAGTTTTGTGTAATTAGTTTTCAGATACACTTTAGTGTGAAGGCTAATAGTACTACTCAGTTGTCCAAACCAATGAAAGGTGAGGGAGAGTTCAAACCTGTGACTTTGGGGTTTAAAGTTGATCACTTTAACCAATGATCCGCTGTTATCTTAACGTGTATAAGATATTATATAATTAGTGGATTTTTACGTTCTAAGCTTTGCAATTAGTTCAACACCAATATATTATATAGATACTTGATTCTAGTGGGTAAATAAAAACACAAACACAAAGTTCTTGTGATTTTGAACATTTTAAGCTCACGTCGATCAACTGAAGTAATCTAACCAATTATCTTATGAAGAAGAGTTTTGTGAATTCCTAAATCGTTTAGGGGTGTTAAATAGGTTTTTTGTTAAAATGACATGATATTGATATGGAAAGCTTAGTTCATCTAATATAATAAATTGAGAGGACGAAAAGCGAATGTTCGGCTCTTTAACCGGGTTGGTGGACATGGAAATTCCACCTATGGGAGTTGGAAAACCCTGATTCCAAACCAGTAGTGCACATGGGCTCCAATATCCTGAAGGAACAAATGGCGTATGAACCAATTGTTGGTCGCCGGCAGCCATTGGACTGCATCTCCTTACATTGCTCCACTGTCTTGTGGATCAGACCTTCAGGTCGAAGGCTCCGGGTGTGGCACCTGGACGTATCACAGCCCTCACACAAATCAAATGAGATTTGTGTGGCGCATATGTAACTGGTGCCTCCATGTACCAATATCTATGTGTCAAAATAAATATAAATAAATAAGTGTCCGAAATATAATTCAACAAGGACTGGTTTCTTTTTCTTATATTCAAGTTATATTGTCAGCTAAATCATGCCATTGCTGATAGAATGAATAATGGGAATTTTTTGTGTCCATTATAATTTTCTGTTTAGTATCTTTTGAACACAACAACAAAAGATACAATGGCAAAAATGTTTGCGTTTATATCAAATTAACGTAGAAATCTTTCAGTGTTTTTACAATCTATCCACTAATTGTGATTGATTAGGAATTGACCAGTTATCTTCCTGACTTGATATTGATATAAGTATGCAGTAGCCAAGGTTCCATCCTCCTAATTCTTCTCCTTGATCAAATTTATATAAACTATTGTCAGGATCTAATTCCATCAAAGTGATTGGTTGACGCGCGTCTAATCTATCCACCTTATTCACAATAAGGATATATCTCTGTTTATCTTCTCCGGGAAAAGCTTGACTATATTTAGTGGTATCATATGATAGTTCTCGTTGATAGAGATAGTATTCACCTTCATTGCTTTTGTGTCGATAAATTCTTGATTTTAACACACAGTTTATTCTTTGGGTAATAGAATAACAATAATTTGCAGGTTATTATTAGAATTGACCAAAGTCGTTGCAGTAGTCAGTGACCAT